TTAAATAAGAGAGTCCACCTGTATGGAGTATATTCAAGTTCATTTGCCAGTAGATTGAAAGACAGAAGCATTCCTTGACATTCCTTCCCTATGCTGCAGGAGGAAAAATAATATTTAAAAAAATATATACCCGTATTTACTCAAGTACCACTCACCCTCAAGTAAGGCGCGCACACAGGTTTTTCAGTTGAAAATTTTGCAACAATCTTATCCCCAAGTAAGACGCGCACCCCAATTTTTAGTGAATCAGAAACCATAAAATTTCAAAAATATAAACAAAAAATTTGACTTCAGGCATGAATTGAACAAAAATCTGATCAATTTTCAACTTTTTCAGCACAAAAATGTTTTCTTGTTATATTTGTTCAAAATGTATCAATTATAATTAAGTATAATGCACACATAACTTCCTAAAACTTCTTGAAAATTTTTTACCTGCTTATGACTCGCACCCCATTTTTTCTTCTGAAATTTGGGAAAAAAAGGTGCGCGTGGTACTCAAGTAAATACAGTATATACGGTACCGTATTTAATCAAGTACCACGCACCCTGGAGTAAGGCACAGGGGTTTTTCAGTTGGAAATTTGGCAAAAATCTTATCCCCAAGTAAGACACACACCCCAATTTTTAGTGAATCTGAAAGCATAAAATTTCAAAAATAAAAACAAAAAAATTGACTTTAGGCATGAATTGAACAAAAATCTGATCAATTTTCAACTTTTTCAGTGCAAAAATGTTTTCTTGTTATATTTGTTCCAAATTTTACTCCTTGTCTGAATCCTGAGTCAGAATTTTTGAAAAATACAGTAAAATATCCTTATGACGAATCTCTGTACAATAAATAATGCTCATTACAAAATCCTTTTTTTCTTCTGAAATTTGGGGAAAAACGGTGCATGTGGTACTCAAGTAAATACAGTATATACAGTACCGTATTTAATCAAGTACCAGGCACCCTGGAGTAAGGCACAGGGGTTTTTCAGTTGGAAATTTGGCTAAAATCTTGTACCTGAGTAAGAGGCGCACACAAATTTACAGTGAATCTGAAACCACTAAATTTCAAAAATAAATGTAAAAAATTTGACTTTAGACATGAATTGAACAAAAATTGGATCAATTTTCAACTGTTTCAGCACAAAAAAGTTTTCTTGTTACATTTGTTTGAAATTTCTCCATTATAATTAAGTATAATGCACACATAACTTCCTAAAACTTCTTGAAAATGTTGTACCTGCTTATGATGTGCACCCCTTTTTTTTCTTCTGAAATTCGGGAAAAAAAGGTGCACGTGGTACTCAAGTAAATACAGTATATATATACCACAAAAAATGTTGAAGAAAAACTTTCAGTAATTTTATTTGTCAATCAACTCAGTCTTCACCCTAGTATCACCCTCAATCCCAATGCATTCCTGCTGAACAGGCGCCACAATAACAACAGGGTCTGCTGCTGATGCTGAAGATGGCAGCGAGTCTTCAGCCTGCTGTACCCTGGGCACCCATCGCGTTGACCGCTTCGTATAGCCCAAATCCCGGTGTATGATGATGTGCAGACTGTTTCTCGAGATGCCCAACTCGCGCTCCATCTTGCGGATGGTCGAACAACTATCGCCCGCCAGGAAATCCCGCACTCGCTGCACCATGCTCGCGTGGGTCGACGTCCGGGGCTTGGGTTCCCGCTTCTCGTCGTCAAAGTTGAAATTGCCTTCGTGGAACCGTCGATACCACTTTTTGACCATCGAGGCCTTCGGGGCATCGTCGCCAAAGTGTTCCATGAGGGAATGCTGGCATTCGTTGGCTTTCAGGCCACGGAGAACGTCGTAGAAGATCATGACGCGGAAGTCGCGCACGGACGGGCCGGAAATGCGATTCGCCGCCACTTTGTCATTAGTTTTCTTTTTTGTCGCCATCCTATGGCAACAAAAAATAAATAAAGAAAGTAAATGGACACAAGTTGCACAGGAATTTGCATAAACGGACCCTGAAACACGCGTGTGGGTTGGTTCTCATCGAGATATTGAAAATACAGTTTCGCACTCTGACAAATTTTCAAAACGCAAAATGATTTCTTTGGAATACCTTTCAAGCCTTCTTTGGATAGTTCTCATGCCTTCCCCTGACATGCCATTTTTCAGAGATATATGATGAACATTTTCTTGATTCCTATGCAAAGAACCAGCAAGTTCACTCACCCACAGTTCCACCATTTCATAATTTTCTAGGTGTCAATTAATTGAAACTTTTTATATGCAGTACAAGGGTTGGGTTGTAAAAAATGATAAAATGGCCACTTGCTGTAATTGGAGGTGGATGCAATTTTTTTTTCTTTTGCTCTTCAATTCTTCATTGGTGTCTAATAAATGTTTCATCAATTATAGAAGGAAACAAGAAAAAAACCTGGATCAAAACTTGAAACTTAAACTTAACTTCCCTTCAGTGATCACAGTGAATGCCCTCCACTGATCATCAACCTCCAATGTTTCATAAACTATTCAGCTATAGATGGAAACAAGAAAAAGACCTGGATAACAGTGAAACTTCAACTTAACTTCCCTTCAGTGGAGGGCATTCACTGTGATCACTGAAGGGAAGTTAAGTTTAAGTTTCACTGTGATCCAGGTTTTTCTTGTTTCCTTCTGTAGCTGAGTAATCCATGAAAAATCTATTGGACACCAGTGAAGAATTGAAGAGCAACAGAAAAAATTGCATCTGCCTCCAATGATGGCAAGTGGCAGTTTATCATCTTTTATGAACCAACCCTTGTACATTGCCTTAAATCTGACCACCATTTGTCCATGATGAAGCAGGTACAGTATTTTGAACTTGACAATTTTCATTTTTAAAGGGCAGAATGAGTGGCTCACAAATTTCTGAAGTCCAGGCTCAACTTCTGAAGAGACTCCTCAGCACATTAAAAATTGCAGTAGAAGTCTTCATTGTGATCCAGCACAGTAGAATATCATTTCAACAAGGCGTCTTGGACCTTTAAAAAGCTTTGTTGTTAATGAAAATTCGTTTAAACGATATTGAATTAAAATTGTGGCTATTGAACAGCGACTGAAAAAAACGATTTTGTAATGAGCATTATTTATTGTACAGAGATTCGTCATAAGGATATTTTACTGTATTTTTCAAAAATTCTGACTCAGGATTCAGACAAGGAGTAACATGAAAATCTTTCAGATGGAGTATCAAATTCCAGTGTACATGGTTTTTATAAATGAAAATTCGTTGAAACGAAATTAAAGTAAAATTGTGGTTATTGGACAGAGACTGAGAAATCAAATTTGTTGTAAGCATTTCTTCATAAAGAGATTTGGTGTAAGGATATTCTACTGATTTTCTTCATCAAAAAGGCTGACTCAGAATTCAGAAAAAGGGGTGAAGCACATAAAAAAGCTTTCAGACAAATGATTAATTTTTCAAATCGGACCCAAAATTTCATTAAGCAATCTATGGAGTTGTTTTTCTCAAATTCACTCCATTGAGAAGAGAAGCCATTTGAACAGCAAAGAAGATTAACCAGACGAATTGAGAAAATCAAAAATCTTTTTCCACTAGGTCCAAAAGCTATTATGAAATGTTTTAAAATTTCCGAACCAACCCACGTGTCACTAAAAAAAACCATAGAATTGCCTTTTCAATAGCTTGAAAATTTCTTTCTTTTTAAAGACGCGCAGAAGTACGACAATCCTCATGCTTCATTCGCGAAAAACGAGTACAGTAGTTCAATTGCCACGTACAAGAATTTCCGCGAAACATTGAAATAAATACAGGACTGACCAATTAAATCGCCTTCCCAGGTTTTCATTTCCGACCAAGACAAACAAGGACCCGCAAAAAAAGGGTTTTTTTACTCGTTGTCTTCGTCTTCTTCATCCTCCTCGTTGTTGATCTGAAAAGGATAAAATAAATGTCAGAAACGTTTGTAACAAGAAAACTAAAACTGTTTTTTTTTTTCGCTGCGAATTTTCATCCCATTCTTTTGAAGAAAAATTCAAAGAATTGATTTATCCACTTCTAATAATTGTGATCCAGTCTCGATAAATATTTGACACAGTTTGAAATTAAATTTCTGGATAATACTGTATACGCAAAACTTCAAATATCATGAGATTTATTCTCCGCAAAAAAAAACCCAACAAAGACACAACTAAATTATTTTTATGAAAAAATATACGGCACACGATTTATTTCCAGCCTTCCAGACTGAAGTAAAAAAAAATATCTATTTTAGACTGAAATCAAAAATTTTCATTTTTAAATTTCGATATCTTTCAAACAAATTGATCAACGGTATTTATATTCACAAAAATTCAAAATAAGCAGTAGTAAAATTTTCCTCCAATTCATGATCAAAAACGGGCTTTTGTGCTTCTTTTTTCATCATCATCTGAGCACATTGTTGCAAGAATACCTTCTGAGCTCCTTCTGATGCCAAAAGTATCAGATTCTAAGCGATTTTTTTCTGAATAGCTGTTTTCTGTGCCTTGCAGTTGAGAGAAATAATTTTCAGTCAATTTTTGTGCGGATTTTTTCCTCATTTTTGATAAACAAGACGACCAATCAAATATGCTCCCATTGAAGTCTATGGGTTAACGTTATCCGACATGCGGACGTTTCGACACGGGGACAAGGACTACACATTAATTACGTCCGAATCTCGGGGCCCCATTTGCACTTTACAGTGATAACTCTTTGAAAATACACTTCGTACTCAAATAAACATATTTTTCAAGCGCAGAATTTCTTTTGCAGAGTACTGTGAATGTTTTAAACTTCTCATCATAAACTTATTGTTTAAAAGTTCAACAATCTCCATCAATATAATCACAAGTTTTTTCGAGTTCGAATCCCTCGGCAATATTTTTTGGGAAATACGGGCATCACGGAAAACAATGAAATTACCATCGAAATTCGATTATTCTCTTTCAACTAAACGCGAATCGTTACCACACACAAAAAAATAAAAATAAAAAACGAGCTACATGAAATATTGTTTCACAAAAACCGCACAGAAACAACAACAACAAAAACATTATACTGTACCTGGAAATAGCGCAGCTCGTAGGTGTCCTTGGCACTGGCCACGACTCTCAACCAGTCTCGCAGCGTGTTCTTCTTCAAATACTTTTTCGTCAAGTATTTCAAATACCGCTTGGAGAACTGAATGTCCGACGTGATGGTGATCTTGCTCTTGGCGCGCTCAATCGTCACGTTGTTGCCCAGGTTCCCAGTCTTGCCGTTCACCTTAATCCTCTCATTCAAGTATTTTTCCTGAGGCGAATCAACGTCACGTGAACCGAAAGAAAAGAAGAAAAAAAAGAAGGGACACAAATGAATAATAATAATTGACCCCAGAGGTGCAACCAGAGAAACGGACAAGTGTCGGGGAAACGGTTACCCTAAATCCCCGAATCAGAAAAGTAGGCCCCAATTTGCAACACAAAAAAGCCGCCTTTTAGCCTTGCAAATCCCAAAGAATTATTCGGTTTAAAAAACTTGCAGGAAACTCTTATTGAAAAAAAAAATTCCCTGTGCTCTTGAAATCGTTACCAAAGTAAAACACTGTACGCGCACAAAAATGCTCAAATATACAATTTTCGAATCGACAAACAAGAACTTACTCCAGTAAATCCAATAAACACAAAACACGAATAAACAATTTCCGAATCGACAAACAAGAACTTACTCCAGTAAATCCAATAAACACAAAACACGAATAAACGTACGAATATTTCACTAATGCCAATAAGACAACTCACAAAGTCACCGGCGTTCATGATGCCATCCTCCACAGGATGCGAACAATCAATCGTAAACTTCAACGACACTTTCTTCTTCTTTGCCCCCTTGCTCTTGGATGGGGCCTTGTGGTGCTTCACCGGCTTTTTGGCTTCCTGCAAAAATAAATATCTCGATTTTTAAAAGTTGTTATGAAAAAACTAACCTTAGAATAATAATGAATTAATGAAACTTGACACGACTTACTCACAGAACATGGACCAAACTAATTCAATACAATTTAAGTAGAATTGATGAAAAATTGGAACAAATACCAGCGACATCTATGTAACAGGGGAGAAAATTATAAGAGTTGGGGACATCAAGCGTAAAAGTTACGAAATTCTCAAAATTAAATTCAGGTACTTATCATAGCTTGAAATCATCATTTTGTCATCCTACTGTACTTGAAGAAATTAAGAATCTCTTTACAACGAATTATTATTTACAACGAAGGCGTTTTCCAGGTCCCTGCCCAAGAGCAATATTGTTACTCAAAATGCTTTTCAACGAATTTCTCTTCAAAAAGATTTTCTTCCGGTCCGAACAACTTCGTTGTAACCCATTAAACTTATCGCATGAATTTTTTCAAGCGTAAAAACTAGTTTTTCCACGAATGGACACACTTCCGAGAAACCCCCAAAAATCTGCTGGAACTCACCAAAACCATTTTTCCTGCGACTCCGGACAGGCGAAACGAAACACTCGAAAAAATTTACAGTATCCTGAAAAAAGCCACAAAAAAAAACAGAATATTCAAGGTCAAAAATGGGTCACAACCGACTTTTGCTCGACAGAGAAAAAAAAACATAAGTAACCATGCTCTCAAAATATATTCTTCGTGATTCTCCGAAATCACAGAAACAAAAACAATTTCCCCTGCAGGAAAAAAAAATCAATCACCGAGAGTCAATCAAAATTTTCCTTTTTTTGGGGAAGGGGGGGGGGAGAAGTGAGAGGAAGAAATGCAGGCGAGGAAAGTAAAAATCCACTGCGGAAGATCGCTGGCACAGCACAATAACAAAAAAAAATACGTCGATACTTCTTTTCCCTCTCAGCAGCTGAATCAAGATTTTCTTTTTTTCAGTTGTCACTCGGTTTTTTGGTTGAAACGGCGATTTCTTGAATCCTCGGTATCATTTCTTCCAGGGCATTGAGGGCTTCATTTGACGATCCACTCAAGGATTCAATCACCAAACCTAGAAAATTAAAAAAAAAATTTAGTGATAAATGAATGACAAGTTCCTCAGCATTTGTGAACTTCGTTCGATTAGAATAACTAATCAAGCGAAAATTTCCCAGTTCACTCCGCATTGAACTGATAACAGACCAGACGAAATAAATTCAACTCTCAAGAAAAGCCCACACCTCAGAGTTTTAAAATATCCGCTGAAAACTGCGGAAGAATGTCAGTGATCCTGAAGATAGAAATCTCAGAATAAACTCGTACAAATCTCAGGGTGTCAAACCCCCAGACACAGTCTGTCAGATTGTGTATACAAGGTATAATTCATTGAAATTAAGTTCCATTCACAATAATTCCCTCCAAAAACACTACAGCAAAATCTTGGCACAACAAACTTTTGGGAAATTCAGAAAAAGTTTTTTTATAACTGATTATTTGTTATATTGAGATTTTTAAAATGTTTGACTGATGGGAAGATCTTCTGAAAATTAAGCCTGCATACTTTCAATATATTCCGTTTGTGGCTTTTTCAAATATTTCTCAGCATTATAAAAAACCCAATATTTTAAAAAGGAAATGTGTAAGTTAATAACAAGGATTTAAACTGAATAACAGGTGTACACTAGCACTTTTTGTTGAGTAAGGTTTTCTAAGCAATTCCACAACAGATTTGTGAAGGTGGATGTTCCAAAAAAGCTGAACATTTTCAAGCATCAGTATTGTTTCTCAAGCATAAAACCCTTTTTAACATGAGTTTTGTTGGATTCATTTTGCCATCAGGTATTTGTTGTAATGAGATTTTACTGTATCATATTAATCAAAAATGTTGTTGAAGGCCACAGCAAAAAATAAATAACACAGACACAATACCATAACAATCTCTTGACCGCAAATTTTCAAACCGCATTGCATTCTGAAGACATTTATCAAGTTTTAAATTATTTTCCCCATCATTAGAACAATTCAACCATTTGTTTCTGAAAAAGATATTCATGCATCAGAGCATTTGAATAACGACGTCTTTCATTTGACAATTGACGTTTTATATCAATATCAACTTATTTCGTCTGGGTTAAAAATTTTCAGAAAAAGAAAATTGGAAATATTTTAATGAAAGCTCCAATTTCATCAATTAGAAAACTCAAGTTTATCTTGGTGGGAGTATTTTGCCACAGAACTTTCTGGTGTGACCACAGAACAAGTTAGGTTTGAAGAAATTGATCTCGAATTTTTTTGAGTCAAAATACGATGAAAATGAATTCTTGCTACGAGAAATGTTACCCATGGCTCCCGAAAATTCATTGCAATGAGTTTTCATCTGTAATACGGCCATCAATAAAAATGTTGGAAACAAATAAAGGAATACAACAATTTTTCTCCAGTTGGGATGAACAGACGGCGTGAAATTAGTCTCCACAACTTCGAAAATAACGACAAGAACCAAGAAAGAAAAAATAGTAATAATCAAAACGAATAAATTAACAAAATCTACAAGAGGATCATCATGTTTTCGTGTAGAGAATAAGAGCGACAATGAGTCCATAGAGGCCAAGGACTTCGGCAAAAATGAGAATCAGGACCATGCCGACAAACAATCGGGGTTGCTGAGCAGTGCCACGAACGCCCGCGTCGCCAACGATCCCAATGGCGAACCCAGCCGCCAAACCGCTGAGACCCACTGACAAACCCGCTGCCATGTGCATGAAACCTCTGCCAAAAATTACAATCCACTTCTCAGCTTCTTTCTTTTTTTGTGTCGCGAATTACGACGCCCACAAAAAAAAAATTTATTCCAATCATCAGAACTTTTTTTTTTCTTCTCGAATGATCATGCGGAAAATTGAGTCCAGTTCTTCGCTCAATTTTTTCTCGAATTAGGGAAGAATCTCAAAACAAATATACGAGGGTTCAAACAAAAGTTCTCAGAGTAGCAATGAAAATGGCCGACAGTTGACCTGAAACAAATTTTTTCTTTAGGGAAAACATATTCTTTGGCACATGAAAAATATCAAAATATCAGCCCTGTTTGACACATTTTTTTCATTTTTTTCATAATTCACCCTGGTAGAGTTTTACTCTCCACTCAAAAGACAAGGCGCCCTTTTTTGTTGTAACCCAGCTTTGCCCTCAGAATTTTTGAAATCAACTTAACATTCTTTCTAAGAGTTGCCTCAAGGTCATCCAAGGCAATTGGAAGATCTGGAGGCCACCCTTAGAAAGAATGTCAAGTTGATTTCAAAAATTCTGAGGGGAAAGCTGGGCTAAACAAAAGGGCGCCTCGTCTTTCGAGTGGAGAGTAAAACTCTACCAGGGTGAATTATGAAAAAAAAGAAAAAAAAATTGTCTAACAGGGCCAAAGAATACTGTATGTTTTCCCTAAAGAAAAAATTTGTTTCAGGTCAACTGTAGGCCATTTTCATTGCTACTCCGAGAACTTTTGTTTGAACCCCCGTACAGTTAATTTTATTTTAGCTTTCCTCCTCACGTATACAAAGTATAGCCATCATCCGCCGAAGACAGCTTGTTGGTGATCAAAACTGCTACAACGAGGCCGTAGATGGCAATGATACCAGCCATGACAACAGGGATGATGGACCGCATGATCAACTCTGGTCGCATAACTGACATCGCAGCAATGCCTGTACCAGCCTTCGCAGTTCCATAGGCCGCCCCTAGTGCTGCAAATTAGTTTTATTATTATTTATGATCTTTGAATACATGCCATAGAATCAAGAGAAAAATGCAAATACATACTTTGAAATTCTTCTAAAACACAGAATTCAAGACCTAGCATAATTAGTGATTACTTCTGAATAAAATTAAGAGAAATCCATTAATGTAAAAAGTATTCTCCTTGAAATAAACAAACATTTTTACAAGAGTATTGCTGGTCATGAAAAATGAAAAAAAAAATTACATATGGTAAACATAATCCATTTCCTTTTCAATCAACTTATCCACTCACGGCTCCTTCTAAAACAGAGGAACATTCTTCTAACATACTGTTTATTCAAAAAAGGCATATTCTAAAATGGATGAGCAAAAGAATTTCAAAAAATATGTATTGTCGTGTATTTTTTGGATAGAAAGTTTTCTTTGCATAAAGATTTTTTTATGACGTTTAAATACTGCATCCTTTAATTTATTCAACAAGTTCTGCCCTTTCTTGAGTAATCCCTAAATGGGCTGTGCACAGAATCATGGCAAAAATTTGTTTTAATGAGATTAAAGCCTAAAATTACTTTGTTGTAACAAAATTTTCATTTCATTACGCCTATGGGAAACTGCCAGGACCAAGAAAAAAATTTGTTATACAAGTTTTGCTGTAACAAAATTCTACTGTATATATTTTGGACAGGTTATACTGTACATTTAATCATGACCTTATTGAATAAATCATTGAGCTTTCTAAATGACTTTACCTCGCTCAGGATGCATTACTCCGATTCAAATTTAGCGAATTGATAATCAAAGAAAAATGATTATTATTATTTTCAAAGAATTATAACGCGGAGAGACGCAATTTTAAATGTAAGATCCGTACGATTTTCTGATCATCCTTTCACAAATGATAAAAGCTGTCTTCGATACTGCACATAAAATTTTCGGAATTCTATTCAGTTTTTGTCTTGGGGGTTTTCATCATGAAATCATTGAATAAATTCTTGAGATTTCTATACGGCTTTACTTCACTCAGGATATATTATTCCGATTCAAATTTATCTAATTGGTAATCAAATAAAAATGATTAATATTATTTTTGAAGAATTATAACGCGGACAGACGAAATTTTTAATGTAACATTCTCATGCTTTCCTGATAATCCGTTCGAAAGTAACGAAAATATGTTTTTGATAATGCGCATAAAATCTTAGGAAACCAGGTTTTTTTTCTGGCATTTCATTCAATTGAAAGTAAAGTACCAGTAATAGAAATTACGGAATATCGCGAATATTTTTTTTTGAATATTACTAATGAAAATGCTAAAAAAAAAAGCATATTAGAAAATAGATTTCATTCATCGTTGCAAATAGTCCAAAATCGTGATAAGTCTCAATTTCCGTGCATGTACGTTGTTCATTTCAGAAAAACTCGGTAGACGAGTAGGAGTCTATAAGATTCCAAAATACATTATTTGAGGGGATCATTATTTAATCTTCTTGCAAAAATGTTTCATGATCAAAGTGTTCGTTATTCAACTTGGAAACTTACCACTGAAAACCATGGCTGAAGCAGCACCGACAACCCCAAAAAAGGGGCTGTACCCAACCTCTTCCCCCATTCTCACCAAAATTTTTTTCTTTACTGAACCACAAAAATGTGCGCGGAGAAACGCGCGTCAAAGATGGAGGAATAAGAGAAATAAAAGAGCGCCCCTCGAAGGCTTCATGATGCGGGAGAAAATCCCAAGAAAAGTTTCGAACAAAGCCTCATGAAAGTTAGGAACTCTTTTACAAGCTCAAGAGACGTCTGATGAAAAATTCTAAAGAACATCTGGGAATTACTGGAAAACAAGACAAGGTCTGTGCGTCGCGGATTATATCAACTGTCCAGAAACTTCAGCTACTCCACCTAAACTGATGAAGCAAATGGCCTCTGATGTGAGAAAAACAATTTTCGAAAAAAAAATCAATACGCGGAACTCGGTTTTTCATGACTTGAAAAGAAAAAATTTTTGATAGATACTGTACTGTACTGTACTGTAAAAGTTAAATTTCAAGCTTAGAGTCGTAAACTTTGGTACTTTCCTGTTATCTCTGTACCTCATTCCTAGACCCCACTACCATCCAGACAAATCTTTAGGACAAGTTCAGAATCACGACAACCTACCAGAAATTGTGAATTTTACTTTTCCGCATTCTGCTGAAACTGATTTTGGGAGAAGGTTAGGTGAAGTTAGGTTAGGTTAGGTCAGGTTAAATTGGTCAGAGGGAAGGTACAGAGATAACAGGAAAGTACCAATCCCACTTTTCCGCAATTTTTTTGGCTTTACATTTTCCGCCAAAAAATCCAAGCAGAGCGGAAAACATTTCTAAAACTTTTAGTTCGCTTAGAAAAAAAATTCTCCCGGCAAATAGAAGCAATAACAACAACAACAACAACCATAAACGCTCGTCAGACACAAAAACCTCACAATCCTTGGTAACAAAACAATTCATCAAAGACTAAGTTTGATTCGGGCCTGAATACTTATTTCTCATAATTCTAGTCTCTAAAATCATATTTTTTCAAACAATTTACCACCGTATCAATTCGGTGGGACTAGTCTCTGGGTTTATACATCGTTTCCAAGCAGTTGAGTATTCAGCAACAAAACTGCACACATGAAACTTCTCACCTCATGTGCATAAGCATTTGTAAAGCTTGTGGGGGGAAAATTATGCAAACAGTTGACCAAAAAAAAATTAAGAACGTATTCAAGACTCCAAAATATTTCCAAGATGAAAATTTAGCTTATAACAAGTACATATAGTTAATATGATTCTTCGAAATCAGCGCATTTGAAAATTCTTTCCGTGGGAGATTTCAAGGACAATCGTAAAAATCATTCGACATCGAAGTCCCGAATAAAACAAAAAAGATCACCATGAATGACCTCGAATTCAAACTCAGCTTTTCGGCACTTTTCAAAAATAAATGCTGTCCAGATTTTCTAAAATCCCACCAAAATATTCCAGGCCACCCCGTTTCTCGCCATAAAATCCAAGCAGAGCGGGAAAAAAAATTCTAAAACGCCTATAGTTCGCCTCAAGAAAAGTTTCCTGGCGAATACAAGCAATAACAACGAAAACGTTCGTCATGTCAGACACAAAAAACCTTACAAACCTTGGTAACGAAACAAGTCATCAAAGACTCCGGCCTTTTCCAAATCAGCTTTCATGAACTGCAGCAATTGCGGAACAAACTTTCCAGATGCGTGGATAATCAAGTGGGTCATGGTTTGAAACAACACCAGTCCAGCGAGGTGCAAACACAATGCAGGGTCCCGACATTCCCCCAACTTGCTACACAACGTTGCTCTGTGACTCGACAACAGCTGCCTGGAACACAAGAACAATATATTTACTAAGTCAAGATCAGCAACAACAAAAAATCCGTCACCATATTTACTTGAGTAACACCCGCACTTCTTTCATCAAAATTGGGATGAAAACAGAGGGGGCGCGTCATAGGCAGGTACGAATTTTTCAAAAAGTTTTGAAAGCTGAAATGTGCCTCATATTTGCTTTTGGAACAATTTCAGCAACAAAACGCATTATAATTGAAATGATGGAAAATTAGTTGAATTCAGGTTCGAATCATGTCTGAATTCAAATTTGGGTGTCCTTATTCTTGAAATTTTGCAGTTTTTCTTACTCGGAGAGAGAATTTTAAAACATTTTTGAATTTTACTTGAGGACGCGTGATACTTGAGCAATCACGGTAATAATCCTCTTGAAATAAACAATTCACGAATATAACTCAAGAAGTCTTGAAAAATTCAGCCATCGCCAGGGAGGAAGGGACACACCAGGTGTAGTCCAAAAGCCCACCTAGGTCAAAAGCCCATTGGCAGGCCCAGCACAAGGCCAAGTACCAATATGTTGGTAAGTTGAGTATATGAAGGGATTCTTCACCTGCAATGGTCATCAGTGATTCTTTGAATTTCAAAGCATTGTCATTTGCTGACTTCTGCAAAATCTACAGTTCACCTTGTTGGTCCAATGGCTGGTGCACTTCAGATCATCAATAATCAGAAGGGTGGTCAAATTGCATACTATACAATGGCTATTTAGAAGAAAATG